GCACCCCCTCCGGCGCGGGTGAGGGACCCTCTGCTCCGGCACACGCAAAGGCTGCGCGGAGCCGCCTCGAAGGACCGAGAAGGGTTTTCGCGTTGAGCTTCTCCTGCTCGGGCTGCTTTTGCCCAGGCTGAAGCTTGCTGGGGCCACCTTAAAATTTTTTCCACGTGGGGACTTTTTGTTGATCGCAGCCTTAACTTTGGCATACAGAAAGCAGCAGCCTTCGTCGGCAGTCTGGAGAAAATGGGCGACAGAGCCAGCGGGTTTATAATTAAGACGACCGTGAACTTGTGAGCGCTCTTGGGTTGCTCTGCTTGGCGGATAATTCCGTGGCCAGGCTGTAACTCGGGCATTGCCTCCTCCTATGGATTGGGGGGGGGTGAGCTGGTTGCTCTCGGCTGTTTGCTGTCGGTGTTAGGCCGTAGACAAACAGTATAGAAAGTTTGCCGAAGACTTTACAGTTATTTTTCCAAATATTTATGCTCCGTGCTGAAAATAAACGTAGTAAATACAAACAGATGAAACTTAGGAGATTTGTTTTTGGTGTTAGATGTGTTTGGAGAATAGTCAGGAGCTGTTAAAGTGTTTGAAGCTAATAAAAATTCCGCTTTTATTTTTAGTTAGCTTTTATTTATAAATTTGAGGTTTATGTAGAGAATTGTGTTATTTCACGATTCACGAGTTGCAGTTTAAGCTGAGCCTATGCAAAGATTGCAGACTTTGTGTTTGGTGGTGGACAGGTGGTGTAGCTCCTGGACAATAACACAGCACTTAGATTCGTCCGGCGGGAGGTGCGGTGCTGAGAGCTGCCGCGGGAGGTTCCGGCCGCCGTGCGAGTGATGCGGAGAGGGACCTGACTCGGGGAAGGTGGTACACATCCTTCTCCCCTGGCCTGCTCAAGGTGTATGCCAGGGAAAGTTCCCTTCCAGAATTTATAAATGGAGTGCTTGAACAATCCTTATGCTCCCTTCCTGGCCAGGGTGGGTGACAGAGCCGGAGAGCGTGTTCAGAACGAGATGTGGTGCAGTCGTCTGATCTGAGCTGCACGCAGGCGGATTTACTGCTTCATCCAGCTTTAGCAGAGCTTTGAGAAATAGACTTCCTTGTTACCAGCCAGAAATAAAAAAAACAAACAAGCAACCAAACAAAAACGTGAAAACAAAACCGGTGGGTTCGAGAAAGACGTGTCAGTTTGTAGCGCGATTTGCTGTGTCTCCGTTCTCAGAGTAGCTAAACCAGGTTCACCAGGCTAACGATTTAGACTTTTTTTTTTTTTAAAGCTGTTATTAAAATATCCTTACTGTGCTAACTTTGAATGCTTCTGATCTTTTTATAGCTAATGGTAAAGTAATGGATTCCAAAGAATTGCTTAACTCGTCAGATCAAGACAAAACAAGGAAAAATGTGCTCATCAGTACCAAAGGAGGGATCGTGATGGACTTTCATCCACCCTTCAGGGGTGGAGCTACCGTACAAGCCCCTGGCTCTACATCTCCTCTCCCCGCGTCTTCTCAGTCAGATTCCAATCAGCAACCTGCTCTGGCTGACTTCTCAAAAGGATTAGTAAACAATGTGCCTCAGCCAGACCTTTCCAAGGCAGTATCGCTCTCGATGGGACTGTACATGGGCGAAACAGACGCAAAAGTGATGGGAAACGACCTTGGATTTTCGCAGCAGGGCCAAATCGGCATCTCTTCTGGAGAAACAGACTTCAGGCTCCTGGAAGAAAGTATTGCAAGCTTGAACAAGTCCTCGAGCCTGGCCGAGGACGCAAAGGGAGCAATATCTTCTGAGGTGCCACTCGAGCCGGATTTCCCGGGCATGGCTGGTCGCAACGTCCCTCTAGAGTCAGGAACTGCAGTCCAGAGCCAGGTTGGCTCGAATGGCGGCAACTTGAAATTATTCTCTGAAGACCAAAGCACCCTGGATATTCTCCAGGATTTGGAATTGCCGCCGGTATCGCCTGGCAAAGAGCCCAACGGGAGCCCGTGGAGGCTCGACCCGTTGCTCGATGACGGTGGCTTGCTGTCCCCCATATCTGCAGATGATGCATTTCTCCTGGAAGGAAGTCTCGGTGAAGACTGCAAGCCTCCTATTTTATCTGACACTAAACCTAAAATTAATGACCGTGGTGACCTTTTACCCAGTTCCAAGATGCCAATGCCTCAAGTGAAAACGGAAAAGGAAGACTTCATTGAACTCTGTACTCCTGGCATAAAGCAGGAAAACATGGGCCCAATTTATTGTCAGGCAAACTTCTCTGGGTCTAATCTGCTGGGTACGAAAGTCTCTGCCATATCCATCCACGGCGTCAGTACCTCTGGGGGACAAATGTATCACTATGATTTAAATACTGCATCGCTCTCTCAGCAGCAGGATCAGAAACCAATTTTTAATATCATTCCATCTCTTCCTGCCAGTTCAGAAAATTGGAATAGGTGCCAGGGATCGGGGGATGAGACGTTGGCTCCTTTGGGAACGCTCAACCTTTCTGGCAGACCTGCTTTCTCTAATGGCTACTCAAGGTAATTAGTTTTTGTTGCTCTTTATTAAAACACTACAAGCATGTTTAGCGCAACTGCGTGCGTGCTGGTTTGTTGTTTTGGTTTTGTTTTTTTTCCTTTCGAAGCCAGTCATCCCTTTTTCATTTGTTATGTATGATCAGACATCACCGGTGCATTTTTATTTTGTAGTATGATAGTAGCTTTGACTGAGTACTCAACTACTAGTATTAAAGGTGAGGAAAGAGGAGGGGAGCTGGCATGCTTTAAAAGTAATAAAAGTAAAAATAAGTTTTCTAAGATACAACCTAGAGGGAAAACTGAGTACGTGGTAGAAGAATCTATGCCCAAGGCAGTATAGAAGGAAATACTTAAGCGTATACAAAAGCTACTTCATTCTCAAGGGTTAGAGGATCAATCACTGTGGTTTTTTTTTTTTTTCTTTCTGGTGTTACTTAAATGTTATGCACAAAAATAACTTTGTTGCTGGGTAAATTTCTAGAATTGCATTTAAGCTGAAGTAGAGTTTTAGCTTTGCTTGGTACTGCATTTGCCTTACATGGACAAGAAGATTCCGAGTGGGAAATACTCAGCGGTTTGTTTAACAACTGCATTGAAAGAGATAAGAGTATTTGCAGTGAGATTTACACATACCTGGAATTAACTCTTAAATGGAAGTGCAGGAGGGCTTGCTTAGAGGTGTTTTTTGAGAGCAGGGTGTTTTAGGGGAGCCGGTTGGGGTTTATTTCAAGTGACCTTGTAGTGGTGTTTTGTACAAGTGACTCAGTGGTGCGATACTCGAGTAAAACACTTTCCCTCTGCCCTTCGGAGCGAGCGTGGTGGTGGCAGCTTTCTCAGCGGGGAGCTGCGTACGGGTTCTGGTTGGAGTAGGAACACCTCGTTGTAGGTTTTCCATAGCTGTTCCTTGCTTCCCCTGCGCTCGCCCAGGCAGTGTTTGACCTCGAAGAGATTTTTTGCTGCGTTTCCGTGGAGTCGTAGTTAGAAAATGGCTCTTTGAGTCCGTATACGTAAAGCCAGTAATTGTAGGCTTTCAGTGGAGGGTCTGGTTTAAGTTTCTGGGTTTTACTGCCCCACTGACGGTCGATCCCCGGAGCGTTAACCGCCAGTGCCGGGGCTCTCTACGCATTGTTTGCTTCATTTTCCCACGGTTGGAACGAGGTGTGTGAGGGTTTCTACTTCGTTTCAGAAAGACAACTTTTAGCTTGATTTCATTCTAGATTTCTTCCGTAGTTTTTGGTTTTTGTAGTGGAGGTGTGGGATTTTTTCCTTCGTAGTGTTTAGAGAAATTTGTAGCCTACGGAATTCAGAAAGGAAAATCAAAATTTGTGGATGCATTCCACTTTGATACTTGAATATTGAACGTGCCTTACTATTTATTTTGACAGAGTAGAAATCCTTTGTGTTAACCGTTTGCATAATCAGTCCAACTTCATGTTGTTTTTAGTTTGTTTCATGGGGATTTTTTGGTGGGTTTTTTTTATTTTGCTCTCGCTCTATCTTTAAGGGCAATCGTTATAAAATCTGTGTCAAAGCAAGCAGAACTGTTTCTGGGTTTGGGAGGTGAATTTCAGCGACTGTTCAAGTAGGCAGGCTCCTCGTAGATCATGGAAACGTCACTTGAGAATACTTCTGCCAAGTTCACGCATTGTTTTTATCTTACAGAACTGTTTGGGTAGAACCGAGCACGTTCCCAGCCGAGTGGTTTACACGTAGATGTTTGTCCGGCGTTTGGGGAATGTCATAACCACAAATTTTTACGTACTACTTCTGGTAACCTTGTGACGACAAACCCAGTGAAGCGACTGGTGTGTACAGGACACATCTGGTCGCAGAGTGAAGCGGGCGGCAGCGCCAGATGTTACCGTTGCGTTGATGGAGCGGTTCTGCGGCGCGTGTGTGCTGGAGCCGCGCGGGCAGCGGCCGCGGCCAGGGGGGAGCTGGGGGAGCCCCCGGCGCGGCGGGTGGGTCCCAGGGCTGTGCCCACCTCGGGGCAGCGTTCGTGCTTCCCGCAAGGTTGTTGCATATTTATTGCTTTCTTTGGCCTTAAGATAATGTGTGTTTTTTGTGTTTTTTTTTTTTTTCCTTAATTTGAGGAATGTGTAAAGAATTTTGGGGTGGCTCCTGGTTGAGTTTTCCATAAAAATTCATTCTTTGTAGTCCTTGTGGAAGCTGTTCTTACTTCCCAAGGATTTTTACACACTAAAACTACCAAGACCAATTCTAAAACCAACATTGTTTGGATTTGCTTTATTTTTTTTTTTTTTTCATAAAATAAAAGCAACTCCACCTTCTTTTTAAAATGTTTGAGATATTAATGAACCCTGGGTTTGAAGCAGGAATTCTCTTTCTTCCTGAACCTCATCAGAAATATTTGGTCTAAACTGGGTTAGTTTAAGGTGACGTATTGTGGATTTGTTTGTTTATCTTACAGAAGACTTAACAAAATTGACATTTGTTTCAGAAACAAAGGAAGGACTGTTTTGCCAAGTTCCTGTCATCTTTTTTTTTTTTTTTCGCTTAGGTACTGGTTGTGTGAGGTGAAGGCTGGGATTTTGAGAATTCAGAATTTCGATTTCCAGTAGGAAATATCTCTGGTGTTGGTAGAATTACTTTACTGATCGTAACATATTAATTATATACTAAACATGTGGGAAGAAAAGCTGCAGTTCTGGTGTTTGGGTAATATTTAATCTGGCTGTTGCAAGGGAAAGCATGTCATGTCTCTTCATAGACACGCGGTCTTGAATTGGTGTCATGCGATTTTTGGGTGATTTTGCTTCTAAGGACAGCACAGCGTGCGGTCGTTAATGAGACAAGGGATAATCAGGACCGAGAAAACCAATCAATTTCCCTATGGATGGCAGGAGGTATTCTGGAGTTGACAAGCAGAACAGGAGCTTCGGATGCATGTTGGACGTGATCGCATCGGCAGCAGTCCATCCCTTGCCGTCCGTACTGGGGGTTGCTGAGGACCCTGCGAGCGCTGGTGCTGGTGTGCAGCGCTGGGAGCTGCAGCTCCGTGTTCCAGCAGCTCGTACTCAAAACCTGCCGGAGCAGCAGCGAAGCTCCAGGGGCAGCAGGACAGCTTCGTGGTGGGGCAGCTTTGGCGAGGTCTCCGCTCGGAGCCAGCGAGCTGCTATGGATCGCGGCGGAGCAAAGCAAGGAGGTGGATAGAGTAAGGGGAGGGGGGGAAGTAACTGGGAAGCTTTGCCTTAGATTTGCTTTAATAGTAGAAGTGGGACAGCATCGGGAAGAGGAATAAAACAGACTGAAAGCATTTGGTGAATGCTCCACTGAAGAATTAGAGGGTTTGATGGTGCCTGTCTAATGGGATATTATTTGTGACTTGTTACACAAATGCCAGTGAAAATTGTTAAATTCCGAGGAAATTCTTTTAGCAACACACACTCATAGGACTCTTGCACGGGATATACATTAAATCCATCGCGCGACTTTTTTATTCCTCTGACTTCTGGCGCTGGGGCTTGTTGTGGGAGAGCGAAGGACGAGCGGCAGCGCAGCGACGCAGGGGTTTCTCTCTGCTTTTCCTCCCAGCCCACAGCCGGGATTTACAAAAACTGGGCCCCACTGGCAGTGTTACGGCTTCTCTGGTTACGTTTGAAGTCGTTCCTCGTACTTAAGCTTGTGGGGGGGGATAAGGATCATTGAGGAAGTTTGAGAAAGGGCAAGAGCTGGGAGAAGCCGTGAAAGAGGAGGAGAATCTGGAAGGGAGGAAAGCAGTTTTGCTGGTGGGTCGCAGCCCAAAGCCTTGCTTCTGGGAGAAGTCACCTTCCTGCCGTCGCTCTTCAACTGGGATTTTTCTTGGACTCGGGACATTTTGCTAGAAGGAAAGGGGGGAAAAAAAGAGATCGTTTGCTAGAAACGGTAAAGGTCAGTTGTCCGTTTGTCTTACTGCCTTGTTTCAGCTTGGCTTTTGTCCAAGGCCGGTGGCTTGGCACGGTTGCATGTAGTACTTGAAATGTTGTCTGACTCAGCACTATATCATGTATGGTACATATGGAAATATGTCTTTTTTTAATAATCCTGTTTTGATATAAAAAACAGACTTGTTATTTGGAGGGCGTGCTCAGGGTTTCAATAGTCTGTTGTGATTCGTCAGCTTAATGTAATACTGTACTTGGGGTTTGAGTTTTGGAAATACATGACAAAAAAAAAAATCTGATTGTTTTGGCAGAAAGAGATGAATGAGGAATTTTCTGTAGAACGTGCTATAAGGTGCTATGAAAAGGTAGGCAGGTAAATGATAGGACATGTAAGATGTAATCCACTTTTTCCAATTTTAGGTGGTCCATTCAGCTAGCTGATAGCTGAGTAGGTTTTTCTAAGTCCAACCCAAATTGCTTATTTCTGCTAATTTGTTTCCCCCTACAGTGGTCTCTACTTTAAACCTAATTCTAGCTTACAAAGCACAAGTTCATTTTTATTGCCCATTGCATTGGTTTGATGCTTATTTTATCCACCTTAAGTAGTGGCTTAACCCCATTGCACTCTTCTGCTGGCAGTGAAAGCAAAACTATCGTTGAACCAGCTCTACTCACACATCTTCTCACAGGTGTGAAGTATATGTATTACACAACTCCTAGATCATATATTTACTGTGTTAAAGATGATTTTACCCAGTGAAAGCAAATTGTCTTGGAGGTGCAAATGTCCTTTCTCACTTTGACTGTTACTGCTCATTCTGGAAACGAAGAAGTGGTAACTATTCTAGGCGTATATGTAACAGCAAACTAGAATTATTTCTACGTTTTAAAAGGTTACCAAGAGCTTTCTCTTCCTAGGTCCCATTTTACAGCCACCACCTAGCAGGTGGGCCTGTGAGGACTTCCTCTGTTTTTAAATTTATTTTTTTTAAAATGTTGTCGAACTCCAAGTAGTGAAAATCCTAGAGGAAGAACCTGGCACTGCTGTCTTGGGTGTAATGCTTGTACCAAAGTTTGACTGTTCACGTTGGTTACGCTGTGCCAGATGAGATGAGCAGTTTCT